GGACCTCTCAGCTGTTCTACTGAGTGATATCTATGATACACACTGCTCTGCTTTCTGCACGGACCTCTCAGCTGTTCTACTGAGTGATATCTATGATACACACTGCTCTGCTTTCTGCACGGACCTCTCAGCTGTTCTACTGAGTGATATCTATGATACACACTGCTCTGCTTTCTGCACGGACCTCTCAGCTGTTCTACTGAGTGATATCTATGATACACACTGCTCTGCTTTCTGCACGGACCTCTCAGCTGTTCTACTGAGTGATATCTATGATACACACTGCTCTGCTTTCAGCACGGACCTCTCAGCTGTTCTACTGAGTGATATCTATGATACACACTGCTCTGCTTTCTGCACGGACCTCTCAGCTGTTCTACTGAGTGATATCTATGATACACACTGCTCTGCTTTCTGCACGGACCTCTCAGCTGTTCTACTGAGTGATATCTATGATACACACTGCTCTGCTTTCTGCACGGACCTCTCAGCTGTTCTACTGAGTGATATCTATGATACACACTGCTCTGCTTTCTGCACGGACCTCTCAACTGTTCTCTCTGGAAACATCGCAACGCGATGAAAGCAGTTACTACAATAATATCCAGGGGATGCATGCAGAGCTGTGATTGGCTGAGATAAGTCCGGCCGTGCGTCACGCCTCCACCGTTCCCGGAAATGCATCCGCGGAGGAGCCGTGGAGGAACCATCAGTGTATCCTCGGTTATAGCTCCTCCAGAGAGCCTCCTCGACGCTCGATCCTCGGTCCTCGGTGTGCATTTAGAGAAATGAAACGTCCTTCAAAATGGCGCGCTGAAATTCATTTCCGGGTCACTACCGGAGGACCGAGGAGTCGAAGAGGAGACATTTGAGTATTGAGAAGCCTCTTGTGTCTGTTTTGATCTGTGTGTATTTACGGTATTTACATGAACACAGAGCAGATCAAAGCAGAGACATAAACACAGTTTTTTAGGGAACACACTGCGGTCCCACAGACAATATTGTAATATATCTTTAACAATCAACACCTTAAATGGGTAAAGATGGTCGCTTAACGTAGCCTACTACCGTACAACCTGCCTCAGCGCCCCTAACAGTCGGCACAAGAGTAGACATGCAGAGCCGGACCCACGCAGTGAAGTTCTACCGCCTGACAGCAGACATGACACAATCATTTAAAACAAGACGGACCGCAAACATGCCGCAAGCTCACCCATCGGCTGTGACTCCCCCTCCGCACTGAGCTCGGTGTAATGTGCATAACTTTGGGCAAGGTTCATAGTTTTAAATATTGTAAAGTGTAGAGCGGATGAATGGGAGTCCACACTTTATTTTCCATTAGTTTACAGAAAGGTAGGAACAACTTAATTACATGCTACTCAAGCTATGATAACAAACCACAGGTGCGCTCCCTAACAGGTCCGTGGCGCAACACTCTCTCTCGAACACAGTGAATTATGTCCCGTAATGTTCCTCCACAAAAGCAAGCAACTGCCGGATTTACGCTCTACAAATACTCACAGTATAAAAACACGCTAAAGTCATTCAATATAAACTCACCTTATGGTGTTCATGGCTGTATCCTAGCTAACACCAGTGAGTGACAATGTTTACACATTGACAGCTGTATTTACGTTGCTCGTTGTAACGGCAAATGTGAACTCTGCTTTTTGCAAACAATGCGTCTTGTGATAACCTGTAACTATGACGAACACTTGATGACATTAAATCACTTTTAATAACTTTGACCTTGTAGAGATCTCCTCGGAACAGAACCAGCTGACTCCTCCGATGCGGGAAGAAAATATGGTGGACCCCCCCCTCTTTGTTTAAAAAAGAAAAGCTTCAACATTTTCAAATAAATATTTTTTGAAATGTTTTCTGCTTTTCATCTTGTCCATTAAAGTGCCATATTGTTCAAGTTCAATTACGAAACTATTAAAAGTAGGGTTTTGAGTCCGACCATTTTGATTTGTGAATAAAACATTTGTCAATAATTAGAAGCTGAGTAATCGGCTGCAGAGCAAGCTGCTGCAGAGCAGTGTGTGCTCAGTGGACGGAGTTACAGAGATAAACATCACTTTGCTCTTATTTCTGAACATGATTGAGACTTATAGAACGCACAGCCCTCAAGATTAACATAGTTATGATTGATTCATGTTTCGATGAGAAACATTAATACATTCTGTCTCATATATTAACTTCATATTTGCAAATTGAACAACCGCACTTTCCCCTTGTTTCAGTGTGCAAGGCTTCTGCGATTAATCTAAATAAAAGTTTCCACACAAATTAGACTCAGAAAATACTCTCTCAGTCAGTCAGCACAACACAAGAGGCTCAACTCAACTAAAAAGTGTTTATTCAAAAGTCAAAGTCAACTTTAATGTCAATTTCTCGTGTGTTTGTACAGACAGAGAAATAACGTTTCCAACAATCCCGAATACAAAATACAATAATATAAATATACAAATATGTATAAAATATGTATATATATATATATATATATATATATATATATATATATATATATATATATATATATACACACACATTCAACAGACACATTTACACATGTGCTCACATTAAGATAAAACACAACAATCAATACAAAATAACAAATTAACAGTCACTTCAATATCGTAGGGAATGCACATGGAGCATTGAAGCAATCTAAGATGTTCTTGATGTTCATGTTGGATGAGAAACTTTAAAGAACTGGTCAGTTGTGTTTTAGCGGCATCTTCCACACAGGTTGACTCTGTCTCTCAATTGGCTGCAACATGGGAATTGTAGTCCTTTATTATCCATGCAGTGCACAAGGTCGCCACTAGATGGCAATATTATTACAACTGTCTCTAACACTTCCTCTTATTATAATGTTAATAATAAACAACAAAACTCTTTTCATGTAGAAATGTGTTTTGTATATAAATATTAGGTTCTTCATTTTATTTTGGCAGAAAAGTGATTTTCAGGATATTTGGAATCACTGGTTTTTCATTAATGTGAACATAATTTAAACATTGAATACTATGAGTTTGTGAATCCAGAATAATGTATCATATTCATGACTTGAGTTATATTTTGTATGAATAATATGAACCTGCAAAGTAGAGAAGCAATAGTATAAAGTAGCAAAACATGGAGATACTACCGTAACGTGCAGGTACCTCCCAATTGTACTCTGGTACAGTATTTGAGTAAATCTAGTAATTGGTTTGAAGAAAAGTTTAGTTTTTCATCCAGCAGAGGGCGGTAACGCAGCTCTTTGGATTCCTCTGTACTTGTGTACCTTGTACTTTTACTTCAGTAAAGTATCTGAGTACTTCTTCCACCTTGATTTGATGTACACAATATAAACTGCACACAGTGTGTGTCCTCTGTTATCAGGTGTGTTTCTGTTCTCGGTTAGCCGCGACCAAACCAGAACAAATGGAGCTGTTTGTCAGCAAGGTGAAACCCACAGAACCACAGCAGCAGAACAGCTTTTACTCCTCTGCTCAAGAGTCACTTTAGAGTCGCTTTAGAGTCACTATAGAGTCGCTTTAGAGTCACTATAGAGTCACTATAGAGTCACTATAGAGTCACTACAGAGTCACTTTAGAGTCACTACAGAGTCACTATAGAGTCACTATAGAGTCACTACAGAGTCACTATAGAGTCACTACAGAGTCACTACAGAGTCACTACAGAGTCACTATAGAGTCACTACAGAGTCACTACAGAGTCACTATAGAGTCACTACAGAGTCACTATAGAGTCACTATAGAGTCACTATAGAGTCACTATAGAGTCACTATAGAGTCACTATAGAGTCACTATAGAGTCACTATAGAGTCACTATAGAGTCACTACAGAGTCACTATAGAGTCACTACAGAGTCACTACAGAGTCACTATAGAGTCACTACAGAGTCACTATAGAGTCACTATAGAGTCACTATAGAGTCACTATAGAGTCACTATAGAGTCACTATAGAGTCACTATAGAGTCACTATAGAGTCACTATAGAGTCACTATAGAGTCACTATAGAGTCACTATAGAGTCACTTTAGAGTCGCTTTAGAGTCACTATAGAGTCACTATAGAGTCACTATAGAGTCACTATAGAGTCACTATAGAGTCACTATAGAGTCACTATAGAGTCACTACAGAGTCACTACAGAGTCACTATAGAGTCACTATAGAGTCACTATAGAGTCACTATAGAGTCACTATAGAGTCACTACAGAGTCACTATAGAGTCACTATAGAGTCACTATAGAGTCACTATAGAGTCGCTTTAGAGTCACTATAGAGTCACTATAGAGTCACTATAGAGTCACTACAGAGTATAGTCACTACAGAGTCACTTTAGAGTCACTATAGAGTCACTACAGAGTCACTATCACTATAGAGTCACTACAGAGTCACTACAGAGTCACTATAGAGTCACTATAGAGTCACTATAGAGTCACTATAGAGTCACTACAGAGTCACTACAGAGTCACTACAGAGTCACTATAGAGTCACTATAGAGTCACTACAGAGTCACTATAGAGTCACTATAGAGTCACTATAGAGTCACTATAGAGTCACTACAGAGTCACTATAGAGTCACTATAGAGTCACTATAGAGTCACTACAGAGTATAGTCACTACAGAGTCACTTTAGAGTCACTATAGAGTCACTACAGAGTCACTATCACTATAGAGTCACTATAGAGTCACTACAGAGTCACTAGAGAGTCACTATCACTATAGAGTCACTTTAGAGTCACGATAGAGTCACTATAGAGTCACTATAGAGTCACTACAGAGTATAGTCACTACAGAGTCACTTTAGAGTCACTATAGAGTCACTACAGAGTCACTATCACTATAGAGTCACTATAGAGTCACTACAGAGTCACTTTAGAGTCACTACAGAGTCACTTTAGAGTCACTACAGAGTCACTATCACTATAGAGTCACTACAGAGTCACGATAGAGTCACTACAGAGTCACTACAGAGTCACTTTAGAGTCACTTTAGAGTCACTACAGAGTCACTACAGAGTCACTACAGAGTCACTACAGAGTCACTATAGAGTCACTATAGAGTCACGATAGAGTCATTATAGAGTCACGATAGAGTCACTATAGAGTCACTATAGAGTCACTATAGAGTCACTATAGAGTCACGATAGAGTCACTACAGAGTCACTATAGAGTCACTATAGAGTCACTATAGAGTCACTATAGAGTCACTATAGAGTCACTATAGAGTCACTACAGAGTCACTACAGAGTCACTATAGAGTCACTATAGAGTCACTACAGAGTCACTATAGAGTCACTATAGAGTCACTATAGAGTCACGATAGAGTCATTATAGAGTCACGATAGAGTCACTACAGAGTCACTACAGAGTCACTATAGAGTCACTATAGAGTCACTTTAGAGTCACTATAGAGTCACTATAGAGTCACCACAGAGTCACTACAGAGTCACTACAGAGTCACTTTAGAGTCACTAGTAAAACAGAATAAAAAGATGTCCAGAGGAGTCCTTCTTCAGGTTTACTTCAGAGACGAGTACAGGACGTCCGGCTCGGGCACGATCTCTGCTAAAAACAGGAGAAAGTTTATTAAATAATAATATTTATATCTGCAATCATGTATACCTGTGTGTGCATAGCTAACTGAACATATTTCATCCATAATAGTTATTTAAGGTATTATTTGAAATAAACAAATATTATTATTATTTAAAGGGTTTAAGAAAAAAAAATGTAACTATATTTCTTTTTTTAAATGTTTGGAAAACATTAATTTGTACATGACAGCTTTGTCTTTATTTAATAATAATTAAGTAATAAATTGTTAATCATTTTAAATCCCAGTATTTTGAATGTTTTTTTGTTGTTGTCTTTTTGGATAATTGTTCTTATCTATAGTTTATTAACGGTTTTAATTTATGGCTTTTAGTTTATTTTTATATTATGTGTATTAAAAGTTTTTAGTTTTTAAGTAACTCTCTTTTTGTTAATATCACAGTATATGCATTTAAAAGAATATTTAAGGAATTACTCTTTGCTCTTTCTTGTGTGAGTGTTCAGTGGACGTTGTTAGCTTAGCTTAGCATAGTGAATGGAAGCAGAGGGAACAGTTAGCATCTGTTGGTGTACCTCTCCTCCTGTTTGTGTTGATCGTGATCTCTCCGTAACAGACGTCTCTCTTCCTCTTCACCTCAGAGTAAACTGCAGCTGGATCGCTCTCTGCACGGTGAAACACATCATCAGAGTTACATGTAATATAATACATATAATATAACATTAATAACGCTGCTATGGTTTAACTGTTCATGTATCGTGAGAACGATGAAAGGTTTCTTCTGAAACAGGAAGATGGGCGACCACAGAGCTGCCCGCCCCGATTAAAATACATTTGGCGTTGGCAATAAAAACCCAAACGTCTCGATGAGATCAGCTCTTCTCTGGAAATGAGCCTGCTGTGTTTTTACAAGCAGAGCGGAAAACAACTACAAACTGACCCACGAGACGGAGGGTGAAAAGAGCGGGAATGAGAGATCCGAATGTCGGGCCGACAGCAGGTGTCGCTGCTCAAAGTGTTTCAACAATGTTTCAACTTTGTGCAGAAACACACACTCACATGTCTCCATGCCTTAATGTTCAACAAGCTCTTTATTCCTCTCATGCTGCCTGTGCTGCAGCTCCTCTTTTCACCCTCTGTCTGAAACCAGAGCCCAGTCTGCTCTGATTGGCAGCTGGCCAGCTCTGTTGTGATGAGCCTATCACGTACAATGTGTTGCAGCTTGAAAGGGGGGCTGAAACTAATCAATATTTATTAATCACATTTTCTTTTTCGAATAGAAGTTTAAAAAATGTCCAAAAGAAAATAGGTTTAACAAATGCAACGGAAACTTAACCACAGCTGCTAGATCTTTATAAAGAAATGTTGACGTGTCTGTACGTCACACAAACAACACATATGTGCATACATGTGCAACTTTAAATATATATTGTATGTAATCAGAGTCTTCACTTGCACATTTATAATTGTTTTCATATTATTTATTTGCACAGTCCTGCAGTGCAGCGTGTGCAGGTCAACACTTCTGAAGTGTTTTCCTTCAGCTGCTAGCTTGTGTTAACCACAAGGTACAAAACACACATTCTCACACAGCACACCCTGTCATCCACTAACATAGACCTCACTCCAGTCTGAAACCTTAGGAACCAGTAAACATTCATCTGTTTTACATTTGATCCCTAAGAAAATATCTTCATTTAACAGAAAATGCTCTTTTCTAAATTGTCCTCATGAGTTCTTAATTCCCGGATGGTCCTCACGCGGATACAAGAACAAGAACACACACACACACTGTCCCTGAGAACCAATCATTACCTCGGCCCCGTCGGCTCTTTTTGATTGGCTTCTTCCGGCTTTGGGATGTTTTGACATCGCTGTATGTGACGTCGTCTCCCATTTCCACTTCAGCGGCTGAAATAAATGTGTCACTTGATTAATATCGACTTTTAGGACAATGTGAAAGAAACAATTAAAATCTAAAATGTTCAACTTAAACTGCAGTAAAAAATCATGTGAAACGATAAAAAGTTCACTAATGGATGACAATATTGGGCATCGAGGTGAGATTACATGAATCTAATTCATAAATATACTCATGATTGTGTATTGCAGGAAACGTGGTTTTTAGGGTTGAAATGTTCAATTAGCTAAATCTTCATCTATGTGCGTCTCTTTGTGCCGGTGCATTCATCAAAAGATGGAATAGGGGGAAAGATTGAATAAAATTGGGATTCAACTAATTAAGACCAATTATATTACATGTTTTCACCATATTTCATTCTGATTACTGCCCCGGTACTGTTAGCTTAGCTTAGCATAGTGAATGAAAACAGGAAGTCACTGCTTTCATAACATAATAATATGTATATCTGCACTGTGTGTGCAGAGCTGAGCTAACTGAACTGATTTCATCTATAATAGTTGTTCAATTTAAGGTCTTATTCTGTGAAATAACAACATTACTTTTGTTAGGTTATTTAAAGGGTTTAAGTAAAAAACATGTAAATATATAAAAAAATGTAAATGTTTGTAAAACTTCAATTTGTATAAAAAAGCTTTGTCTTTATTTAATAATTAAGTAATAAATTGTTAATCATTTTCAATCCCAGCATTTTTTTTTTTTTTAGATTTGTTTTGATCATTTTTTGTTTTTATAGTTTTATTATCCGTTTTAATTTATGGCTTTTAGTTCATTTTTATATTATGTGTATTAAAAGTATACAGTATATGCATTTATAGGAATATTTTAGGAATCACTCTTATGCTCTTTCTTGTGTGAGTGTTCAGTGGACGTTGTTAGCTTAGCTTAGCATAGTGAATGGAAGCAGAGGGAACAGTTAGCATCTGTTGGTGTACCTCTCCTCCTGTTTGTGTTGATCGTGATCTCTCCGTAACAGACGTCTCTCTTCGTCTTCACCTCAGAGTAAACTGCAGCTGGACCGCTCTCTGCACGGTGAAACACATCATCAGAGTTACATGTAATATAATACATTTAATATAACAATAATAACGCAGTTGTGGTTTAACTGTTCATGTTGCATGAGAACAATGAAAGGTGTTCTTCTGAAACAGGAAGGCGGTCGACCACAGAGCTGCCCGCCTCAATCAAAATACATTTCGCGTGGGCTGAAAAAACCCAAACGTCTATGAGATGAACACTTCTCTGGAAATGAACCTGCTGTGGTTTTACGAGCAGAGTGTACCGACCAACTTTATTAAATGTATTTATTAATTTGAGATGGAGAGAAGTAGTACCGGCTTAGTTGAATATTCGGTTCTGATTGGTCAAACTGGACATTTCAGAGGTTGTTAGTACTCGATAACACCGTTGCTAAACAAAATACAGACTGTTTCTATGGAGGATCAAAGGAGAGAAGAAAAGAGGGTTGAGTAGATATAGCATATATCCAGAATCAACAGGAATACAGTGTCGACATCGATGCTTCTCCACTGATAAGGGGACATTTTAAACTTTAATATATTTCTTATTCAGCCAGTGTTTGTGGGTTTTTAAATCAACACAACGAAACAACTTTACGTAAAAAAACGTTGACTTTATCCCAATTTAAAAAGAATAAAATCAGCATCCATGGTTAGTATTTACCCTTTACCATTGTTAGATCAAATGTATGAATACAAGTGCTAAGGATCCATTATAATGAAGATATGACTGCAGTACACAGGGTCATTTTTGAATAAATGTACTGATGTTTATTTCTTATAGCTTTATTAGACTTTTAAAAAGGCCGATTTCCACTGGACTCCTTTTTTTACTTCAGGAACATAGTGAGATCACTTTGGAACACTCGTGCTCCTATTGGCTAGCGCTGATAGGCTAAGGGGCGGGACATCTCTAAGCTGTTCACCAATCACAACAGAGCCGGTCAGCTAACCAATCAGAGCAGACTGGGCTCTGGTTTCAGACAGAGGGTGAAAAGAGGTGCTGCAGCACTTTGAGCAACGAAACCTGCCGGCCCTACATTACCGCTCTGTCTACCCTCCGTCTCGTGGGAACAACTATTGTTTTAAGAGCGATGTGAAAAAGTTGTTTTTATTCACACTTTTTCTTCGTGGAAAGCTGAAAATAGATTTCACAACTGCGATGGAAACTTAGCAACCACAGCTGCTAGATTGTCATCAAGAAATGTCCAAATGTTGACCAAAATTAACACACATCACGTCACACAAACAACACATGTGTGCATGCATGTGCAATTATAATGATATATTGTATGTAATCAGAGTTAAATATACATTTATAATTGTTTTCATATAATTTATTTGTGTTATTAACAGTCCTGCAGTGCAGCGTCTGCAGGTCAACACTTCTGAAGTGTTTTCCATCAGCTGCTGGCGTGTGTTAACCACAAGGTAAAAAACACACATTCTCACACAGCACACGCTATCATCCACTAACATAGACCTCACTACAGTCTGAAACCTTGGGGACCAGTACACATTGATAGCCCTATAGCCCTAACCCTATAGATTTTATTCCCTTCTGAAATATATTTATCTAGGAGAAAATTGTCTTTTCTAAATTGTCCCCATGAGTTCTAAAATTCCGGATGGTCCTCACATGGATATTAGAACAAGAACACACACACAGTCCCTGTGAACCAATCATTACCTCGGCTCTGTTTGATTGGCTTCTTCCGGCTTTGGGATATGTTGACATCGCTGTATGTGACGTCTTCTCCCTTTTCCACTTCAGCCGCTGGAAATAAACACAAAGACACAGAAATGTCCCTCGAACTATTACCGATTCTTAACACGATGTGAAACGTGGCATTTTAAAAACTACAATTTCAAACTGCATTAAAATATAATGTGAAACGCTCAAAAGCTCACTGATTGGATGAATGAATCTCTAGTTGACAGAAATGTAATTCGTTAACATGCTTAGGCTTTTGTATTGCAGGAAAGTCGTTATCAGCATTGTCTTTGTGAATTTAGACAAAGTATATATTCAGTGTTTAGCATTATTCTAAACCTACATAAAAAATAAAAAGGCATTCTCTTGATAGAAAATATATTTTGGAGAGTTGAGTGTATAACAACTTCCCTCGTAAATGTGGTTCTTAAAATGTTTTTTAAAATTGTTTTAATGTTGTGTTGTTGTTTGTGTCTGACCCTCACGTTTCCATCGGATGCATCGTCGCACCAGAACAACCAGCAGAACCAGCAGGACCAGCAGAACCAGCAGAACCAGAACACAGAGGGATGCAGCAACAGGATGCAACCAGGAGGCGGGGGGAGTGGTGGTGGGTTTCTCTAAAAAGGAAAAACAAATAATGAACAGAACACAAATAAACCTTTCACCGTCCGTCTTAATTTGTTTAGTATTTGTGTTTCAGGTTGAAACTAATTGTCAGTAATTCCTAATATTAGGCTTTACAGAGTGGAGCAGGAATCAGTCAAAACACTATTAAGATTTTTTTATTTTATTGCAGATTGTTTTCTGCAATAATCCAAAAGCTAATGGAGGAATCCAATTGGCTTTTTTGGAGAGCACCAGGGATATGCTGCCTTCAGGGTCCGGTACAGAAATACGATGATCCTGAAACCAAAGCAAAGCTCCTCACCTGAGACAGACAGCCGGCTCTCTGGAGACTCTTTACTCTGGACTCTACACTTGTAGAGGCCTTCATCAGACCTGGAGACATGGAGGAGGGTCATGTGACCATCAGACTCAGTCCCAATGAAGACGCCATCTTTGTAGAAATCAGCAGAGGGGGGGTCGGCCATCTTTGTTCTACAGGTCAGAGTGACGTCATCTCCCTCCATCACAGGGAGGGCAGGACTCTGCAGGATCACTGATCCACCTGAACACAGAGACAGAACCAACATCTACTCTGACAGGATCAACTCTATAGCTGAAGAGACAGAAACAACATCTACTCTGACAGGATCAACTCTATACCTGAAGAGACAGAAACAACATCTACTCTGACAGGATCAACTCTATACCTGAAGAGACAGAAACAACATCTACTCTGACAGGATCAACTCTATACCTGAAGAGACAGAAACAACATCTACTCTGACAGGATCAACTCTATACCTGAAGAGACAGAAACAACATCTACTCTAACAGGATCAACTCTATACCTGAAGAGACAGAAACAACATCTACTCTGACAGGATCAACTCTATACCTGAAGAGACAGAGACAACATCTACTCTGACAGGATCAACTCTATACCTGAAGAGACAGAACCAACATCTACTCTGACAGGATCAACTCTATACCTGAAGAGACAGAACCAACATCTACTCTGACAGGATCAACTCTATACCTGAAGAGACAGAACCAACATCTACTCTGACAGGATCAACTCTATACCTGAAGAGACAGAAACAACATCTACTCTGACAGGATCAACTCTATACCTGAAGAGACAGAACAACATCTACTCTGACAGGATCAACTCTATACCTGAAGAGACAGAGACAACATCTACTCTGACAGGATCAACTCTATACCTGAAGAGACAGAACAACATCTACTCTGACAGGATCAACTCTATACCTGAAGAGACAGAGACAACATCTACTCTGACAGGATCAACTCTATACCTGAAGAGACAGAAACAACATCTACTCTGACAGGATCAACTCTATACCTGAAGAGACAGAACCAACATCTACTCTGACAGGATCAACTCTATACCTGAAGAGACAGAAACAACATCTACTCTGACAGGATCAACTCTATACCTGAAGAGACAGAAACAACATCTACTCTGACAGGATCAACTCTATACCTGAAGAGACAGAAACAACATCTACTCTGACAGGATCAACTCTATACCTGAAGAGACAGAACCAACATCTACTCTGACAGGATCAACTCTATACCTGAAGAGACAGAACCAACATCTACTCTGACAGGATCAACTCTATACCTGAAGAGACAGAACCAACATCTACTCTGACAGGATCAACTCTATACCTGAAGAGACAGAAACAACATCTACTCTGACAGGATCAACTCTATACCTGAAGAGACAGAACCAACATCTACTCTGACAGGATCAACTCTATACCTGAAGAGACAGAAACAACATCTACTCTGACAGGATCAACTCTATACCTGAAGAGACAGAAACAACATCTACTCTGACAGGATCAACTCTATACCTGAAGAGACAGAAACAACATCTACTCTGACAGGATCAACTCTATACCTGAAGAGACAGAGACAACATCTACTCTGACAGGATCAACTCTATACCTGAAGAGACAGAACCAACATCTACTCTGACAGGATCAACTCTATACCTGAAGAGACAGAAACAACATCTACTCTGACAGGATCAACTCTATACCTGAAGAGACAGAAACAACATCTACTCTGACAGGATCAACTCTATACCTGAAAGAGACAGAACCAACATCTACTCTGACAGGATCAATTCTATACCTGAAGAGACAGAACCAACATCTACTCTGACAGGATCAACTCTATACCTGAAGAGACAGAGACAACATCTACTCTGACAGGATCAACTCTATACCTGAAGAGACAGAAACAACATCTACTCTGACAGGATCAACTCTATTCCTGAAGAGACAGAACCAACATCTACTCTGACAGGATCAACTCTATACCTGAAGAGACAGAGACAACATCTACTCTGACAGGATCAACTCTATACCTGAAGAGACAGAACCAACATCTACTCTGACAGGATCAACTCTATACCTGAAGAGACAGAAACAACATCTACTCTGACAGGATCAACTCTATACCTGAAGAGACAGAACCAACATCTACTCTGACAGGATCAACTCTATACCTGAAGAGACAGAAACAACATCTACTCTGACAGGATCAACTCTATACCTGAAGAGACAGAAACAACATCTACTCTGACAGGATCAACTCTATACCTGAAGAGACAGAGACAACATCTACTCTGACAGGATCAACTCTATACCTGAAGAGACAGAAACAACATCTACTCTGACAGGATCAACTCTATACCTGAAGAGACAGAACCAACATCTACTCTGACAGGATCAACTCTATACCTGAAGAGACAGAACCAACATCTACTCTGACAGGATCAACTCTATACCTGAAGAGACAGAGACAACATCTACTCTGACAGGATCAACTCTATACCTGAAGAGACAGAACCAACATCTACTCTGACAGGATCAACTCTATACCTGAAGAGACAGAACCAACATCTATTCTGACAGGATCAACTCTATACCTGAAGAGACAGAAACAACATCTACTCTGACAGGATCAACTCTATACCTGAAGAGACAGAAACAACATCTACTCTGACAGGATCAACTCTATACCTGAAGAGACAGAACCAACATCTATTCTGACAGGATCAACTCTATACCTGAAGAGACAGAACCAACATCTATTCTGACAGGATCAACTCTATACCTGAAGAGACAGAAACAACATCTACTCTGACAGGATCAACTCTATACCTGAAGAGACAGAACCAACATCTACTCTGACAGGATCAACTCTATACCTGAAGAGACAGAAACAACATCTACTCTGACAGGATCAACTCTATATCTGAAGAGACAGAAACAACATCTACTCTGACAGGATCAACTCTATACCTGAAGAGACAGAGACAACATCTACTCTGACAGGATCAACTCTATACCTGAAGAGACAGAGACAACATCTACTCTGACAGGATCAACTCTATACCTGAAGAGACAGAAACAACATCTACTCTGACAGGATCAACTCTATACCTGAAGAGACAGAACCAACATCTACTCTGACAGGATCAACTCTATACCTGAAGAGACAGAAACACAATCTACTCTGACAGGATCAACTCTATACCTGAAGAGACAGAAACAACATCTACTCTGACAGGATCAACTCTATACCTGAAGAGACAGAAACACAACATCTACTCTGACAGGATCAACTCTATACCTGAAGAGACAGAACAACAAGATCTACTCTGACAGGATCAACTCTATACCTGAAGAGACAGAAACAACATCTACTCTGACAGGATGAACTCTATACCTGAAGAGACAGAAACCAACATCTACTCTGACAGGATCAACTCTATACCTGAAGAGACAGAACCAACATCTACTCTGACAGGATCAACTCTATATCCTGAAGAGACAGAAACAAACATCTACTCTGACAGGATCAACTCTATACCTGAAGAGACAGAACCAACATCTACTCTGACAGGATCAACTCTATAACCTGAAGAGACAGAACCAACATCTACTCTGACAGGATCAACTCTATAGCTGAAAGAGACAGAAACAACATCTTACTCTGACAGGATCAACTCTATACCGTGAAGAAGACAGAAACAACATCTACTCTGACAGGATCAACTCTATACCTGAAGAGACAGGAAACAGACATCTAACTCTGACAAGGATCAACTCTATACCGGAAGAGACAGGAACGCAACATCTACTCTTGACAGGATCAACTCTATACCTGAAGAACAGAACCAACATCTACTCTGACAGGATCAACGCTATAGCTGACAGACATAACCAACATCTACTCTGACAGGATCATCAACTCTAATACCTGAAAGACAGAACCAACATCCTACTCTGAACAGGATCAACTTCTATACCTGAAGAGACAGAAACCAACATCTACTCTGACAAGGAATCAACTCTATACCTGAAGAGACAGAAACCAACATCTACTTCTGACACGGATCAACTCTATACCTGAAGAGACAGAACCAACATCTACTCTGACAGGATCAACTCTATACGCTGAAGAGACAGAACCAACATCTAACTCTGACAGGATCAACTCTATACCTGAAGAGACAGAAACAACATCTACTCTGACAGGATCAACTCTATACCTGAAGAGACAGAAACAACATCTACTCTGACAGGATCAACTCTATATAAAATTAAGATTAAATTGATCATAACATTTGTTCCTTTTGGTCCTTTCCAGCTGCTGAAGTGGAAACCAGAGAAGAAGTCACACAGTGATGTCAACATTAAAAAAAAAACTGCAACAGCCAATCAGTCGGAAGATTAAGAGAGCGCTTAAAAAAAGTGCATTTTCTCTTAAATGATGATAATATAGAATTAAATAACATGTATAAAATATGTGTTAGTCCCTAAAGTACGAGACTGTACTGAGGAGTGTTTTAGTGGATGCTAGTGTGTGTGAGAATGTGTGTGTTGCACCCTGTGGTTAGCACAAGCTAGCAGCTCTGAGGTCTTCCAGCTTCCTCTTTCTGATGAACTTCTTAAAGTGTTTTTAGTATTGATGAGGAAACAGAGAGGCTGATCTTACCAGAGACAGTGATGGTGATGGTGTTACTGGTGGATCCCTCTGTGGACTCACACCAGTACTCTCCACTGTCCTTTGGGTCCATGGGGCTGATGGTACAGGAGGAACCAGCAGGTGTTCCCCAGTCGACTCCACACTCAGCTCTTCTTTCCCTGCTCGTGTTTCTCCTCACAGTCCATCCCTCAGAGGCGTCCTCACATCTCAGAGAGACACGTTCATCTTTAAACACCTGAGAGCTGCTGGGAGTCACCGTCAGACGAGCTGCAGGGAGTTATTGGATTCTGAGTCAAACTTACAAAATAAAACCCGTCCCAGAATAAAGTTCACAGCAGCATGGAGTCACTGATAAAGCCTTTAGCTCGTTAGCTTCTGTCACGCTGACCTCAGGAGGAACTGGGTTATCCAGCAGAGTGAGAGCTTGACTGCTTCAAGTAAATGGTTATGATGGTGAGAAGAGCTGCATTTGATCAACATTTTTTATTTAAATCTGGACTCATGCATAATTCTGCTGCTCTGTACAAGAAGGGACAGAGCAGACTCTTTCTGCTGAGGAGATGCAAGGGGCACTCCTTCAGACATTTTATGAGTCTTTTGTGGCATCAGCCATCTTCTATGGTGTGGCCTGCTGGGGCAGCACCAACTCGGCTGCTGACAGGAAGAGACTGAACAGACTGGGAAGGAAGCTCTGTCCTGGGGAGTCCTCTGGACACTATGGAGGAGGTGGGAGACAGGAGTCCTCTGGACACTGTGGAGGAGGTGGGAGACAGGAGTCCTCTGGACACTGTGGAGGAGGTGGGAGACAGGAGTCCTCTGGACACTGTGGAGGAGGTGGGAGACAGGAGTCCTCTGGACACTGTGGAGGTGGTGGGAGACAGGAGTCCTCACTGTGGAGGAGGTGGGAGACAGGAGTCCTCTGGACACTGTGGAGGAGGTGGGAGACAGGAGTCCTCACTGTGGAGGAGGTGGGAGACAGGAGTCCTCTGGACACTGTGGAGGAGGTGGGAGACAGGAGTCCTCTGGACACTGTGGAGGAGGTGGGAGACAGGAGTCCTCACTGTGGAGGAGGTGGGAGACAGGAGTCCTCTGGACACTGTGGAGGAGGTGGGAGACAGGAGTCCTCACTGTGGAGGAGGTGGGAGACAGGAGTCCTCTGGACACTGTGGAGGTGGTGGGAGACAGGAGTCCTCTGGACACTGTGGAGGTGGTGGGAGACAGGAGTCCTCACTGTGGAGGAGGTGGGAGACAGGAGTCCTCACTGTGGAGGAGGTGGGAGACAGGAGTCCTCTGGACACTGTGGAGGAGGTGGGAGACAGGAGTCCTCACTGTGGAGGAGGTGGGAGACAGGAGTCCTCACTGTGGAGGTGGTGGGAGACAGGAGTCCTCACTGTGGAGGAGGTGGGAGACAGGAGTCCTCACTGTGGAGGAGGTGGGAGACAGGAGTCCTCACTGTGGAGGAGGTGGGAGACAGGACTCCTCTGGACACTGTGGAGGAGGTGGGAGACAGGAGTCCTCACTGTGGAGGAGGTGGAAGACAGGACTCCTCTGGACACTGTGGAGGAGGGGGAGACAGGAGTCCCTCACTGTGGAGGAGGTGGGAGACAGGAGTCCTCACTGTGGAGGTGGTGGGAGACAGGAGTCCTCACTGTGGAGGTGGTGGGAGACAGGAGTCCTCACTGTGGAGGAGGTGGGAGACAGGAGTCCTCACTGTGGGGGAGGTGGGAGACAGGAGTCCTCACTGTGGAGGTGGTGGGAGACAGGAGAATGGCAGCCAAGCTGTCCTCCCTGCTGGACAATGTGTCCCACCCCCTCCAGGACACCCTGTCCTCACTGTGCAGCTCCTTCAGCGACAGGCTGCTGCACCCCCGCTGCCTCACAGAGAGATACCGCAGGTCCTTCCTTCCTGCAGCGGTCAGACTATACAACCAGCACAGCCCCTAGTAGACCCCCCTACGCACACCACAACACAGACTATAACACCCCTTGCTGCTAAATACCAACCAACTACCTGCACAACACATTCTCACTCCCAACTCGGCCTATGTTAAAGTTATGTCAGGGTCCCTGTCGTCACTTTCCAACGCAAGGGGGGGTCCTTTAACGTTGAGTTTCAACTATCAGGGCGTCCCATAGACTTGCATAGAGCTCCCTGAACGTTGGTAATAGAGGAGTTGGGATCGCGGCGAAATGCTCTCCGCAGATTCATTCTCACAGCGTTTATCAACCTTTTTCTGACTCAATATCAAACCACACTTATTGTTTTTACTTCTTTATTTTAATTGAATAATGTAGGACTGTTGTTGCCGTCAGTTATGAGGAGAGTAGGGGCTCAGAAAACTGAAGTCTGTATTGTTTCATCGTTTTTTCCTTCTAATTGTGTATTCTTTTCTAAACCACACTGTTATTTACTCAACAATAACACATAGTTATCCTTGTGTTTATTTATTTGTTTGATTAATAAACACAAGTTGGAGTCCGTCAGGACGGAGGGTCGGAGCAGCTCATAGTAGTTGCTTTAGAGAATTTTACACCCGGAAGTAAGTATTCTCTCCGCTTCGCTTGACAAACCCCGTGATAGTCCTCAAGCTCTGTGATTGGATGTTTGAGTGTGCGCCGAGGGTTACGCCAAGCGTCGAACAGCACTTTGAAATGGGATGGAATCACGGCAGACTGTCCACAACTGGATTTGAACGGGTCCACCGCGTCCCCCCTCCCTCACCCCGTCCCCAGAACTACAAATGCTGGTTATTCTGTTTCGCAACATGTTCTGTATCTATGGCACGTCTCTACTGGGAGTTGTAGTTTTAAAAGACGTTTTCGTATTTCCCATAATAAGAAGTTGCCAGTATTAAACTGTGTACATCCCTGGAGGTTTAGGGGATAGGAAACACTCACATTTAAAACATATAATTAATAAATGGGTGAAAATTGCTTGTGCCCATAATGGGCAGCATTAATATATATACACACATGCCAGCTAAGGTCAGAAGAGCTTTATTTAACAGCTGGTCTTATGTTTGTGACCCCTGTTGTTAATTGATAACATTACATTACATTAATTGATAAGCCTGAAACATGCACTTGTCAAGGTTCAGAGGCACATTTTGCAAATATGGCAGTAGCCATCGATCAGCTTAAGATAAGATATACTTTATTGATCTCAAGTTGGAACATTTGCGTTACATCAGCATGTGTTACAGTTAAATATGCAGTGGTGTTTATTTGTAAATCATTTAGTATAATCACACAAATTCTGTGTTTTATATTTAACAATTCTGTGTTCTTTATTTATTGATTGTTCAATACCTGACAAGGCCGGAGATTAAATATCTACATACATCTTATAAGAGTATAATACATATGTATAATATCAGTTAAAATAAGTGCTTCAACATAGTTAACATTGCTGGAAAGTTGATTGTCAAGTTCCAAAACAAACCATGCAAATTATTAAACGTTAAGTACTTTGTCAGGCTTAATATTTATCTGTAGATAGATACCCCCAAAGCTTTTTTCTTATTCAAAAGAAGACCTTAACCTAAAGTATTCTTTAATGTTTAAATAAAGCCTTATTAGTTTGTCTGTTTTGCACATCCTCCTATCAGGCACTAAACTGTTTTATTGTAGAGATCACTTGCAGTATCTTTTTGATATTTGATATTCTATATTTATATCATTGACTTTCTACTTTCCCACTATTTTGTATGTACTCTTAATATTTTTATGTTGTCATCAAATATAACATATCAACACAACAATTCAATAACGTGCTTTACTAGGCGGTTAAAGCACAATAAAATATACTGCTGTTTCCAGTTTAGTTTATGACAGATGTATTTTGTTATCCACACATATATTGTTTTTATATTTGTAATACCAAACCGACAGGAAATATGGTCTTAACATGACCCAGTGGTCTAGTTAATAAAAAATATATTAGCAAACATAATATTAAAATGAACTCTTATTTTGAAAATACAGCTTCCTGTGTGCGAATGAGCTGCTCCGACTGTCGGTCCTGACTGTCACTACCCGATCTGCAGCTCTGCCCGATCTGCAGTGCGCATGTGCGAGATGGTCCGCCATATTGGACAACTCCGGACGGCAACCCAAGTAGGACAACATTGACACAGTGGCTTTTGGCAAAGCTCAAAAATAAAACGAGAGAGAGATGAGTTATTGTTATTACAACGTGACTTCACTATTATTTAACAACTCTTTTTATTGGGTTCTTTTATTTGGGGTTAAGTACATTGTCAGAATAAGTGAGAAATGAATGTAACTTCTGTTAGACAGCTATATGCCATACATTTTTGCACACATTCACAGTAAATATGTATTCAGTATGATAGCTGTCGAACAGAAGTTACATCCATGTCTCACTTATTCTGACAATGTACTTAACCCCAAATAAAAGAACCCAATAAAAAGAGTTGTTAAATAATAGTGAAGTCACGTTGTAATAACAATAACTCATCTCTCTCTCGTTTTATTTTTGAGCTTTGCTAAAAGCCACTGTGTCAAGTGTCCATCTTGGGTTGCCGTCCGGAGTTGTCCAATATGGCGGACCATCTCGCACATGCGCACTGCAGATCGGGCAGAGCTGCAGATCGGGTAGTGACACTGACCTTTATATATACAGTCTATGGTCCTGACCAAGCCCCCAGGAAGTGCGCCGGACTCAGATGAAAATATTCGTGGTGGCCAAACGGCGGTACTACACTTCCTTTAGGTTGCCAGGCCCGGAAACACTTTTTCCCATTGACTTACATGGGGAAAGAGTGGTCTGTAACTCGTTGGATAATTTTTTTTAAACTAAATAAACTACTCAGTATGAACGTTTGTATAGCCCTTATTAAAAACATTCGTTCCTCAAGTTGTAAAAATGTGCTAATAACGTTATTCTGAGAGTTATTTCCCTCTGCATTATGAACGCGCATCTAACCCACGGGACCGCGCCGCCCGGCACGTTCATGTTACGTGTTCAGTACTACATGCGTTTACCTTTACCCATGGATGCACAATAACAACGAACCATATCGCCTTACTGCCACGGAGCTGTAATAATGGATATATTGCACATGTTTGCTGTAATTCATCATTTGTAAAATATTATACTACATGGGCTGTATGATGTAAATGTTGTATTAAATAAAGTTAATATTACCGACGTAGATTAACGTCCCTGTAGCTTCTTATTGCACTTGCAATATGTCATTAAAGGAGTTGAACGTTGCTGTTTGCTATCACTATAATACCACGCAGGGATAAGCAGAGTTTACAACCTTTGCACAACACGTTTTGACCCAGATGAATTAGCTATACCATATGATATCGCCCGAGGAAGTCGTCATACTTAAATAAAGATATATGTGTCAAAGCTCTAATCAAATTAACAGTTGTATTAATTATACTTTCAACGTTCAGGGAGCTCTATGCAAGTCTATGGACGCCCTCCCTGATAGTTGAATATTGACGTTACAGGCCCCCCCTGCGTGTGATAGTGACGCCAAGGGATCCTGACATAACGTTAACATAGGCCGAGTTGGGAGCGAAAATGTGTTGACCTGCAATATGCGCTATATGTGCTATATATATATATATAGGCTGCTAAATCCTAAGAACTGTTACAGGATGTGTATTTTGAAAATGATGTAACTTTTTTATAGTTATTATTATATCATAACTTAGTACTTTAATGCATGTAACATATGTAACATTAAGCTGTCTATGGCTCTTTGTCTGCTGTAACTATGTAAATGTCCCCTATGTGGGACTAATAAAGGTATTCTGATTTAGATTCTGATCTGATGCAATATCCAAATCGCAGTAAAGGCAAAATAAGTGAAAATGTCTAAATGAAGTATTGTGGAATTGCAATGACAATAAAGTTGAATGTATTCCAATCTGACCGGCTGCAGGTTAACGTACTGACCTGAGTCTGTCGAGCAGCAGCACAGGGAGGACAGCACTGAACACAAACCAGACAACCAGATATCAGTAAAGCAGTAACACAGTGTGCAAACACTCTGTCACAGTACGACGCCTGCATCATACACTTAACTTCAACTTTAATTATAACTTTGAATATACCCAGAATCAAAGTACTCATCGTGCAGAGTGATATCATAATAATAATAATAATAATAATAATAATAATAATAATAATAATAATAATAATAATAATAATAATAATGATAATGTTCAAGCATTAATGTGTTCATCACTTTAATGTTGCGGCTGGATAAGGGGGAGATCTTTTTTTATAAATGTTTTTACTTTATGTACCACCGGGTAGTTTGTGAAGTTTCACCTTAACCTAAGAAATACATTATACATTTAAATGTACTTTTCATAACATGTTGTACTATCCACTACTCACCAAAACTCTTCATCCCTCTTTAATATCTCTAAGTATGAAATGTGTTCAGGGTTACTCACAGAGCAGGAGAGATGTGTCCTTCATTCTTCTTCTCGTGCAATGAGATCAACTCTTCTTCTTCTTCTTCTTCTGTCCGAGCAGAAAAAACACTTCCTGTTTCTGCTCTAGTTCACTAGCTGTGTGATTATCTCTCTGATAAAAACACCCATAGGTCTATTAGCACAAAAAAAATGAAGCGCCAGGGTCTGTGGTTAACAGAAGCGGAAGAGATTTTAGCGTTTTGTTCTCCACAAAAAATACGTCAGTAAATACCCCACAGGTGGATTTAAAAAATAAATGATACGACTAAACGTCATCACGCCCAACATTAGCAGCCTTTAGCTTAGCGGTGGTGACGTGAAGTCATGTGACCGTGATGTAGTTAATTTATAGCCCAACATTAGCAGCCTTTAGCTTAGCGGTGGTGACGTGAAGTCATGTGACCGTGCTGTAGTTAATTTATAGCCCAACATTAGCAGCCTTTAGCTTAGCGGTGGTGACGTGAAGTCATGTGACCGTGCTGTAGTTCCTTTATAGCCCAACATTAGCCTCCTTTAGCTTAGCGGTGGTGACGTGAAGTCATGTGACCGTGCTGTAGTTCCTTTATAGCCCAACATTAGCAGCCTTTAGCTTAGCAGGTGGTGACGTGAAGTCATGTGACCGTGCTGTAGTTAATTTATAGCCCAACATTAGCCTCCTTTAGCTTAGCGGTGGTGACGTGAAGTCATGTGACCGTGCTGTAGTTCCTTTATAGCACAACATTAGCCTCCTTTAGCTTAGCGGTGGTGACGTGAAGTCATGTGACCGTGCTGTAGTTCCTTTATAGCCCAACATTAGCCACCTTTAGCTTAGCGGTGGTGACGTGAAGTCATGTGACCGTGCTGTAGTTCCTTTATAGCCCAACATTAGCCTCCTTTAGCTTAGCGGTGGTGGCGTGAAGTCATGTGACCGTGCTGTAGTTCCTTTATAGCACAACATTAGCCTCCTTTAGCTTAGCGGTGGTGACGTGAAGTCATGTGACCGTGCTGTAGTTCCTTTATAGCACAACATTAGCCGCCTTTAGCTTAGCGGTGGTGACGTGAAGTCATGTGACCGTGCTGTAGTTCCTTTATAGCCCAACATTAGCCTCCTTTAGCTTAGCGGTGATGACGTGAAGTCATGTGACCGTGCTGTAGTTCCTTTATAGCCCAACATTAGCCTCCTTTAGCTTAGCGGTGGTGACGTGAAGTCATGTGACCGTGCTGTAGTTCCTTTATAGCACAACATTAGCCGCCTTTAGCTTAGCGGTGGTGACGTGAAGTCATGTGACCGTGCTGTAGTTCCTTTATAGCCCAACATTAGCCTCCTTTAGCTTAGCGGTGGTGACGTGAAGTCATGTGACCGTGCTGTAGTTCCTTTATAGCCCAACATTAGCCTCCTTTAGCTTAGTGGTGGTGACGTGAAGTCATGTGACCGTGCTGTAGTTCCTTTATAGCCCAACATTAGCCTCCTTTAGTTTAGCGGTGGTGACGTGAAGTCATGTGACCGTGCAGTAGTTCCTTTATAGCCCAACATTAGCCACCTTTAGCTTAGCGGTGGTGACGTGAAGTCATGTGACCGTGCTGTAGTTCCTTTATAGCCCAACATTAGCCTCCTTTAGCTTAGCGGTGGTGACGTGAAGTCATGTGACCGTGCTGTAGTTCCTTTATAGCCCAACATTAGCCTCCTTTAGCTTAGCGGTGGTGACGTGAAGTGATGTGACCGTGCTGTAGTTCCTTTATAGCACAACATTAGCCTCCTTTAGCTTAGCGGTGGTGACGTGAAGTCATGTGACCGTGCTGTAGTTCCTTTATGGCCCAACATTAGCCTCCTTTAGCTTAGCGGTGGTGACTTGAAGTCATGTGACCGTGCTAGTTCCTTTATAGCACAACATTAGCCTCCTTTAGCTTAGCGGTGGAGACGTGAAGTCATGTGACCGTGCTGTAGTTCCTTTATAGCCCAACATTAGCCACCTTTAGCTTAGCGGTGGTGACGTGAAGTCATGTGACCGTGCTGTAGTTAATTTATAGCCCAACATTAGCCTCCTTTAGCTTAGCGGTGGTGACGTGAAGTCATGTTACCGTGCTGTAGTTCCTTTATAGCACAACATTAGCCTCCTTTAGCTTAGCGGTGGTGACGTGAAGTCATGTGACCGTGCTGTAGTTCCTTTATAGCCCAACATTAGCCACCTTTAGCTTAGCGGTGGTGACGTGAAGTCATGTGACCGTGCTTTAGTTCCTTTATAGCCCAACATTAGCCTCCTTTAGCTTAGCGGTGGTGGCGTGAAGTCATGTGACTGTGCTGTATTTCCTTTATAGCACAACATTAGCCTCCTTTAGCTTAGCGGTGGTGACGTGAAGTCATGTGACCGTGCAGTAGTTCCTTTATAGCACAACATTAGCCGCCTTTAGCTTAGCGGTGGTGACGTGAAGTCATGTGACCGTGCTGTAGTTTCTTTATAGCCCAACATTAGCCTCCTTTAGCTTAGCGGTGGTGACGTGAAGTCATGTGACCGTGCTGTAGTTCCTTTATAGCCCAACATTAGCCTCCTTTAGCTTAGCGGTGGTGACGTGAAGTCATGTGACCGTGCTGTAGTTCCTTTATAGCCCAACATTAGCCTCCTTTAGTTTAGCGGTGGTGACGTGAAGTCATGTGACCGTGCTGTAGTTCCTTTATAGCCCAACATTAGCATCCTTTAGCTTAGCGGTGGTGACGTGAAGTCATGTGACCGTGCTGTAGTTCCTTTATAGCCCAACATTAGCCTCCTTTAGCTTAGCGGTGGTGACGTGAAGTCATGTGACCGTGCTGTAGTTCCTTTATAGCACAACATTAGCCTCCTTTAGCTTAGCGGTGGTGACGTGAAGTCATGTGACCGTGCTGTAGTTCCTTTATGGCCCAACATTAGCCTCCTTTAGCTTAGCGGTGGTGACGTGAAGTCATGTGACCGTGCTGTAGTTCCTTTATAGCCCAACATTAGCCTCCTTTAGCTTAGCGGTGGTGACTTGAAGTCATGTGACCGTGCTAGTTCCTTTATAGCACAACATTAGCCTCCTTTAGTTTAGCGGTGGTGACGTGAAGTCATGTGACCGTGCTGTAGTTCCTTTATAGCCCAACATTAGCCTCCTTTAGTTTAGCGGTGGTGACGTGAAGTCATGTGACCGTGCTGTAGTTCCTTTATAGCCCAACATTAGCCTCCTTTAGCTTAGCGGTGGTGACGTGAAGTCATGTGACCGTGCTGTAGTTCCTTTATAGCCCAACATTAGCCTCCTTTAGCTTAGCGGTGGTGACGTGAAGTCATGTGACCGTGCTGTAGTTCCTTTATAGCCCAACATTAGCCTCCTTTAGTTTAGCGGTGGTGACGTGAAGTCATGTGACCGTGCTGTAGTTCCTTTATAGCCCAACATTAGCATCCTTTAGCTTAGCGGTGGTGACGTGAAGTCATGTGACCGTGCTGTAGTTCCTTTATAGCACAACATTAGCCTCCTTTAGATTAGCGGTGGTGACGTGAAGTCATGTGACCGTGCTGTAGTTCCTTTATAGCCCAACATTAGCCTCCTTTAGTTTAGCGGTGGTGACGTGAAGTCATGTGACCGTGCTGTAGTTCCTTTATAGCCCAACATTAGCCTCCTTTAGTTTAGCGGTGGTGACGTGAAGTCATGTGACCGTGCTGTAGTTCCTTTATAGCCCAACATTAGCCTCCTTTAGCTTAGCGGTGGTGACGTGAAGTCATGTGACCGTGCTGTAGTTCCTTTATAGCCCAACATTAGCCTCCTTTAGTTTAGCGGTGGTGACGTGAAGTCATGTGACCGTGCTGTAGTTCCTTTATAGCCCAACATTAGCCTCCTTTAGCTTAGCGGTGGTGACGTGAAGTCATGTGACCGAGCTGTGTAGTTCCTTTATAGCCCAACATTAGCCTCCTTTAGCTTAGCGGTGGTGACGTGAAGTCATGTGACCGTGCTGTAGTTCCTTTATAGCACAACATTAGCCTCCTTTAGCTTAGCGGTGGTGACGTGAAGTCATGTGACCGTGCTGTAGTTCCTTTATGGCCCAACATTAGCCTCCTTTAGCTTAGCGGTGGTGACGTGAAGTCATGTGACCGTGCTGTAGTTCCTTTATAGCCCAACATTAGCCTCCTTTAGCTTAGCGGTGGTGACTTGAAGTCATGTGACCGTGCTAGTTCCTTTATAGCACAACATTAGCCTCCTTTAGCTTAGCGGTGGAGACGTGAAGTCATGTGACCGTGCTGTAGTTCCTTTATAGCCCAACATTAGCCACCTTTAGCTTAGCGGTGGTGATGTGAAGTCATGTGACCGTGCTGTAGTTCCTTTATAGCCCAACATTAGCCTCCTTTAGCTTAGCGGTGGTGACGTGAAGTCATGTGACCGTGCTGTAGTTCCTTTATAGCCCAACATTAGCCTCCTTTAGCTTAGCGGTGGTGACGTGAAGTCATGTGACCGTACTGTAGTTCCTTTATAGCCTATTCTGACTGGAGCGTTAATCAACAGCAGTTACATAACATTCAAAACGCACAACCGTGCACACTACAGATGCACTTTGGGTCTTTAGAAAGAGCAGTGGCGGCGGGTCATTAGGGGCAGGTGGGGCACAGCCCCACCTAGTGTCAGAAGAAAGTATTACAAATAATGATTACAAAAAAATACTAAAAAATAAATAAAAAAACATATAAAATATATTTTAAGGTCATGTTTAATAATCTGATTCGTCTGTACATTTCTGTTTTAGTCTGTGTTCTTCTAATTAGTGTCTAGAGTGCCGTTTTGAGCTGTTTAGAGCCATGTGGGACAAAACCCGATCCTGCCCCTCCCTCTCACAGTCTAAGTGAACGGTGATTGTAAAAACTACACTGCGCATGCTCAGAGTATTTTTCTATTTAATGTGTGTGGCAAACAAATAATGACCGTAGGGGCATAGTGCTCCCATCCCCACCATACGTCATCTCACATAATTCAGAATTGATTGGCTGTAAGTACTCACGTGTGCAGTGCTGCGAAACGTCACGTGTAGTTTGAAGAGGAGACGAGAGAGCAGCATATAGCTAACATCACCAGCGATTAAAAGAAGTAAAAAACTGAAAGAAAATGAATGAAGTTGACCATTTACTGGAGCACACATTTGAGACACTTAGTCTCGGAGAGAAACTGGAGGTAAAGCGCCTCGGTGCCCACCATCCACCGGATTTCCAAATGGTCCAGACTGCGGGCAAAGTTAAACGTGGGTTTAACGCTGAGTGG